AGTTGAAGCTTAGCAGTCAAGGTTGTCAACGGTCCAGTCCAGCCCAAGCGTCTCTAGTCCAGCCTGGGCATCTCCAGTCCAGCCCGGGAAAACAGTTTAAATTCCATCAGTTCTGCCTAAAAACAGTTTAAATTCCATCAGTTCTGCCTAAAAACAGTTTAAATTCCATCAGTTCTGCCTAAAAACAGTTTAAATTCCATCAGTTCTGCCTAAAAACAGTTTAAATTCCATCAACCATTCTGGCCAGAACAACCTCTTTATACTGAGATAAATTGTTAAAGTCCTCACCAGTCTGAGGCGAGAAAAGAACTTACTTGGGAGATATTCCTCACCCAAATTCACAATCGTTTGTTTGCAGAAATCAGTAACTTGGGGCGCAAGTTATCCATTCCAAACTAAGTCTGCTAGAATTTTTATTACTAGCAGTGGCACGCTCGCACACCAAAGAAAGCTGACTTGTTGACCAGTCTATGGTTCTCAAGGCAGTGGGGAACTTTGCCCTTCCATCACAGAATAACGACAGAAACGGGCAAACAGGAGCATCGAGCTGTGGTGGTGGTGAAGGATTGCATTTATTAGAATATTAAATTATGTTTTTATCTATGTGGAGGTGGACTTCACTTGCCACGTCACCCACTCAATTGGTCCATATATACGAAATTACAAAACATCCTTTTCATGTCATCGAAGTTAACAGACTTTTGAATGAAGTTGACATCATGAGGCAAAGTGGAACATCAAACCTTGGTCAGGGAGAAGATCTGCTATCCCCAGTTTCCCTGTCCCTCTATATCCCATGCCTAATTTTTTGACATGTGTTCAAACACTTAACCCCAATCTAACATTGTTAACTTAAATAAATTATAATAAAAAAATAAAAAATAAAAACTAAAACGTAAAAAGAAAATAAAAACTTCACGGCAGCCACCCAAGTCACGACTCCCCCCTAATCTCAATGGCGGCAACGCCTCTCCTCCTCATTTCCACCACCCTTTTTTCTCTTCCACAATCTCTTAATAAAAATCCATAAATCTTGCACTTTGAATCAAAATCCAGAAATCTTTTGCTTTGAATCCAAGACTAGAAATCTTGCACTTTGATCAAAACCATGAAATCATTTTTGACCCAGAAACTGCAATCCTTCAATAAAACCAAAAAACCCCATCACAAAATTTGATCCCCACATCAATCTCACGGATTCAACAGCAACAACACCCCATCATTCTCGATCTGACCACTGTTCTGGACCAAAACAGCCTCACTCTTTGGCCAATGCTTACAACGTAAGCCTCAATCATGATCAATGGTTCTTTGTAAGATAGGATTGGCGGCGTAGACATGGATGCGATCAGAGCCGGCCCATTAAATATGGAGGCCTTGTGCGAAGAAAGCTGATGAGGCCCTATATGTATAAGTAAATTAACAATTTTTCAAATTTTAAAATTCATAAATTAACCAAAATATGTGGTATCAATTACGTTAGAACCCACAAATAGAATCAAGATCATCCTTCGTCTATTTTCACCTACTCACATCCATTCAATTTTCTTTTACATAAAAAAACACTACACATACCCACAAATATAATATAATGTTGGGCTTTTAAAAACATTTGGAGGCCCCTAAATTTTGGGGGCCTTATGCGGTCGCACAACCTGCACATGCCATGGGCCAACTCTAGATGCGATCTTGTTAGCTGACCTGAATCTTGTGTCAATGATTCGAAAAGAGAGAGAAAAGAGGGACATAGAGAGACAAGAAGAATGGTTGCCCAGTCGCAGGGAGGAGAGGCGGGTCCTGCTGAGGTGGGTGAGTGGGGTGGGGGGGT